GAGGAGGTCCACAATAGTTGAAAAATGACTCAAACGTGTCCCAACTGATTTAAAACGTGTTTAGTGACATAAAACTGACACATTTTCCCTGAATTACTTGAAGCTTGTCGATAAAGACTCAAACTTGCCCAAAATTATTTTAAATTTGTTCAAAAAAGTTGAAAATAACTTTAATAAATTACTGTAAAAATTCTGAAGGCCGGTCCAAAACGACTCAAACTCAGAAACGGATGCAAAGGTTGCTGATGATGACTCTGAGGGTCTGAGGTGTGCTCTCCTGCCAGCCGCTCTGAGGAAACACCGCCGCAGGTCACCTGAGACTCTCCGAGTGTTTGGATTTAAAGCTTCATGTAAACGCAGCAGCTCATCTTCCTTCAAACCCTGATCCTACAATCTCCAGTTTCACCAGCAGACGCTTTATCCAGACAGACGGCCAGCTGAGAGCAGATCCAACACAGCAGGGATCCAGTCAGAGGGACAGCCTGGATCAGAGAACAGGTGTGAAGCAGCAGGCTGTGTGGGTGGGAACAGGAATTCTGTGTTTGTCTTGGTGTCCTGTGTGTGTCCACCAGCTGATGGTCCTGCTGAAGCTTTACTGCTGCTGTTGAACTCTACCTGGATGGATGCACCACCAGTCTGTGGCTCATTACATCACAACCTCCTCAGAGCTGAAAAGCTGTCTGTGGCAAGAAGTTAGATTACATCAGATACATGTCTTCACCTCCAAGAGGAGCTGAGTCAGCGGCTCAGACCAGAGGATCTGAGCAGGGGTCTGGGCGGAGCCACACAGAATCCACCAAACTGCTGCCACCATCTAGAACAAACCAGATCGGTGCTGCTGACTTACATCCCTTCTTGACCTCCTGCCAGCGGAACTGGTGCCTCCGGACCACCGAGAAGACCGAGTCGAAGCCCTGCAGCGTGATCATCTCCAGCGCCTCCTTCAGGTGGAACGGGTGGAGACACGGAGACGTGGCCTGGATGTTGCAGATCACGTCCACCTCTGAGGAGACAGTTCAGGAGGATTTACAGCCCGCAGCTCCGCAGTCGGCACACAGACCAGGTGTGTTTGCTCACCTGGGTTCAGCGTCACAAACTCCTGGATGGTCTCCAGAGACGTAGAAGAATCTTTGGAGACTTCAGGGCTCCTCCAGTGAACCTTGGCCCCCCACGACTTGGCCACCTTCTGGATCTCACTGTGGTCTGTTGACACCCAGACACTGGAAACAGGAAGGCAGAGTGTCAGCATTATCATTAACACTATAATTAATATAATTATTATAATTATACTGTGGCTGACTCGTGCAGCGTTTTCTTTTCATCTGATCACCTCCACACCCACACGCCGGAGCTCTGGGTGAAACCTTTCATAGGATAAACTCCAATTTAATCATTTTAGAGCATAAACAGCTGATTGAGAAAATAATTAACAGATTAATCTAAATGAAATCATCTTTAGTTACAGACTAGAGAACAACCAGCTCATCTTCTGCTCATCCATCGAGAATAAAAGTGGTTTTGTTGTTTTTGGCTTCTATTTGCTGGAAGTTTAGATGTTTGGCAGTTGAACAAAAACATTATTTGAAAAGATTTTCTTTCCTTTTCACTACTTCCTAACACATGTTTCAACCTGAGCAGCATCAGAACCGTAACCAGGATGGGGTAGTTCATGTCCTTCACTGAATCGGGTTTTATCTCCTGATGCTTCCCCTGCAGGAGCTGAAGAGCTGCTCAGCACAGGGCTGTGGAGTCCACAGAGATATGACCCGTCCTCCCCAGGTGTGTCCTCCCCAGGTGTGTCCTCCCCAGGTGTGCCTCACCTGTCGAACATGCCGGAGTCCACGGCGGCCCGCAGCACCCAGCCGACCAGCGGCACTCCGGCCAGCATCTTGATGTTCTTCAGCGGGATTCCTTTGCTGCCTCCCCGGGCCAGGATCAGCGCGGCGACGTGTCTGCTGCCCTCCGGCCGCCGGAGCTGCTTGGAGCCGCTCCCCGCCCCGTTGTCACTCGGGAGGCCCCGCTTCTTGGAGGCCATGACGGTCCGCGGTGTGTGAAGGAGTCTCTCTCTCTGACAGGTCTGTTGATGGAGCCACTTCCGCCTTCACTTCCTCTGCTGCTGCAGTCACAGCTGCCTGAGTGGAGGCGGAGCTCAGCAGCGCCACCCCCAGCGCCGCAGGACGGAGGCGGAACAGC